GGGAGATAGCGTCCGAGTTCTATACTGTTTGCTCCAAGCGTCTGTCGGGTCTGGCCCGCGGCGTGAAACAGAAGGAAACGCGTGGAAGGTCGGGCGCCATCGAGGCAGGGTGAGGAGCTTGTTCCTGCGTCCAGGGCACGGTCACAGCTGCCATCACCGGGCGCTACCATACCTAACCCATAGGCCCACCCTGCGCTTCGGCCCCAGCACCCCCAAACGGCAACAACCTCGGGGGTGAGGGCCCGGGCCCCGCGGAGAGCACAACCTGAGAAGCTCTTTGCAGCCCCTCGCAGAGGCGCAGGACGCAGGGGGCCTCTGGGAGTCAGGGGCAGGGAGAGGGCGGACCGCCGCTCCTTGCTGTGCCCGGGGACGAGGGCTTCGCCTCGAGTGGAAACGCTGGGCCCTCTGCACGGCCCGGGACTTCGGCCGTAGCTTCGCGTCAAGAGGGTATCTTGCCTAAACGAAACCGCTTCATTCGTTCGTTTGTTCCGGCAGCAATGCCGCAGAAAAGCAGCAGACATCGGCCAGAGCAGCAGCTCTCATCGTCCCATACCCAATGTCCCGCAGCCGGCCTCGGAGGTGCCCCGGCCCACGATGGCCTGCCCTCGCCAGAACAGCTCTTTTCTCCCCTGAGAGAAACCTCAAATTATCTTCGCAAAGTCCAATAAAGGTATTCCCGAGGCTCCTCCCGGGTTTGGTTGTTGGCGTGGAGTCCCCGAGCACACAGCCGCTTCTCTGCGACCAAGTCTCAGAATTCTGAAATTGACCAGCTTCGTAAGTCGGAGGCAGATTCTGCCATGCCGGGATCGAAGTAATAGGAACCGTAGGCTGGAATACTGATCCCCAGATTTTCCGATTTAGGAATTCCCTGAAGCTAAAATTACTTGAGTCCACTTGTCCATGAACTAAGGCTTGGGTATTTTCTTGGCATCCCAGGGACCTCTGAAAGCCACCAAGGTGGCAGGGAGGAAACCCCAGGTTGCTGTCCAGGTGGCAGAAGATGCAGGTCTAGGGTAATGACTGGGTCTACAGTAAGGGCAAGGCTACAAGCAGCAGGGTTAACACAGGAGGGGACTTGCTATCCCCCTGCCCTTTCCCTAAGCTGTTTCAGGCTTCCCCCACCTGTGTCATGGAAAGGAAAAAAGGTAGGCTGGTGGTGTGGAAACCAGGCTGCCTGGACTGGAGGATACAGAGAATGTATGCCTGTCTCCCACAAAAGCATCTGCGGGGAAGAGGAGGCCCTAGTACAGCAAAAGCTGACCCTCTGCGCCCCACTTGTATACGTAGCCATTTTTAGGAACCAGCAATGGGCTGGGGGAGTCATGAGCTCTACCAGCCACTGATGGAGCAGCCCACAGCACAGAGTTCCAGTACTTCCTATCTGTGACCCCCAGCTGGCAGCCATCCTGCCCCAGGACAGGCTGGAGAGCCCTGTTTGGCAGGAAGCCTCAGACCGGGGTCCTGAGAAGCCAAAGGATCCAGTGAGGTCTTTCTAGTCTCTACCTGAGCACCCTCCTCCTCCCCTACCCAGTAATTACTTGTATTCAAAGAAACAAGTGTTTTTATTGGGGAGGGGGTGTTAGATCAGGCAGGAGGAAGTAGGTGGTCCAGGCTGCACTCCCAAAACTGGGTTTTCTAGTTTGAACTTCTCCACAGCCTAAGAGGCTTAGGGCTGGAATGTCCAGGAGAGTCATGGATAGCCCTGGGGGCAGGCTATGGCACATTCCTTCCTTTTTCCTAAAATACCTCCATTCTGGGAGCAAGGATTAGGGCAGGCTATCCCCATAAGTGGGTGGAAGGATGCCCCCCATGACAGCCTCCCAATCACCCTTTCCAAATTAAATTACTAAACTATTCTTGGGCACAGAGTCTGTTTTGAGTGAGCCTAGCTTCAGAAAGAGTCCCAGTGATGACTACTTCAACCCCACAATAGGCCAGGCTCCTCTGCTCAGCCCAGCCAGGACCCTAAACTCCAAAATTCTTGAAAGTCACACAACCACTGCTGGCTCTGTATGGTGAAGGAGGAATGGGGAATAGGGCATATGATTCTAGCTCCAGCATGCCCCCTTCCCTCCTCTTAGTCTCACCGAGTGAGGTACAGGCTGACGCAACAGGCAGACAGCTGCGTCCCAGGCTGGACATGGAACCCAAGGCAAATCGCAGGTCAGGCTTTGACCTTGAGGCAAGAGCAGGTCATACAGCAAAGCTGGGGGAGTGCTGAACCTCTGCTCTTACTCCTGAAAGAGTGCTGCCTTTGTGTGTTTGTGTGTTATGTGCCTGTGAGTATGCTGGAAGCCCAAGTGGGATAGTATAGCTGGGGAAGAACAGAGAGTATGTCCAGGTCCCTCTCTAGCCAACTGATTGGACCATAGCCTCCTCTCTGTCAGTATTTCCTTGCTCCTTGATCATTCAGTGCTGCCTAGGAGACTGCCCTGAGCAATCACCACTAGCCTCAGCCCTTCTTTGAGGCTCTGGTCCCTTTACCCAGTACCAGGCCCTTCACCCAAAACAGTCTGAGGGCTTTTCTATCCACAAAGCAAGCATCAAGATTTCCAAATAATGAGACTATTGTGCCTGCCTGGACCACCGCCAGAGGCTTGGGCCCAGAGGGGCACACAGCAGGTGCTCAATAGCTGCATTAAATACATCAACAGTGAGGGACATAAGCCCCTCAGACTGAGCAGCTGGAGCTGCTGAGTCACAAAACAGTCCTCGTCCACGCAGTGCATGACTCCTGGGCCTCTGAGAGTAGGGGGCTGTGATCCCCACCCTCTGGACACCCATAGGCAGACCATTCATTTACATGTCCCTGTCCAGAGGTGCACTGTGCTTCCCAACTTGGCTTGACATTTAGTGGGCTTAGAACATACCTCCTATCCCTGACCAGCCAGTTTTCATGCCAAGCAGCACAAATATGCCTGTACCCAGCACGTCCATATGTGTAGGCAGTGAGTGCACTTCTATGTGTACACAGCATACATTTGTGGTGTGCAGGATGCACGTGTGTGTTTGTGTATGTGTGTGTGTGTGTTCCCCTCTGCATCTAAGATGTTTTGAGGGGCAAGACAGCTACAGGGAGAGTGGTTGGTGAATGGGGCACTTCGTAGCATGTTGCAGCACCCGAATCCTCCTGAAAGGGGATATCTGCTGCTGCAGGAGACTCAACCAAGAAATGCAGTAAGAGGTGTGGCAGGGGCAAATGTTAGGCAACTGTACTTCCCAATGTCATCTCCCCATGACCAAGACTAGTTTCATAGAGCAAGGATCTCAACTTGGAAAGAGAAGGCAGGAGTCACTGAGCCTCCTCAATCCAAACTCTGGAAAGTGTGTTCCCTTTGGGCTTCCGCCCCAAGAGTAGGCCAGGCCCAGAAATGGTGCCCTCTCTCCATGTCCCAGAGTTGGACACCCTGAACCAGAGGCAGAGGGAGTAGAATTGTGTGCCTACCCCAACCCTGTGCTCACTACGGAGCTCAGCCTGCAGCCTGGGTCTTCCCTGTGATGAGAAGAGGACTCAAAGGCAGAACTTGTGGAGTATCCCAGATGCTGACACCTGCATGGTCAGGCCCAACCAGAGACCCCCAGGAGGAGCTAAGGAGGCACGGAGACCTTGGGTAAGGGCACTGAGGCTGGAGAGTAGGAAAGTGCTTCTCCCCCAGGCCACCTGTTCAGCACTGCTCTCTCTTTGGTTGCTGTGTTTGGTGTGGCTAGTTGGCAGGTGAGGGGCAGAGGGCAACTTGGGGACTGCCTGTGGCCAGAGGAACAGGTCAGGGCCGCACCTTGCCACCTCATCCGGGGCCTATTTGCTGAAGACACTGAGGTCTTGGGGCCTGTTAACAATTGTTGAGCAAAATCCTTTGATAAACTTCACTGAAGGAGGGGATCACTTTTGGAAGTGGGAAGGTAATGTCTTTGCCTGTGCCCAGCAAAGGCCCATCGGAGCTGCAACTTAGCTACCACTGTGTGGGAAAGCAGCTAGAAGACTGAAGGCTTCCTGGCTGCCGGCCCAGGGTTGGGAGACAGCAGTCACCTGGGCTACCAGGCCTATGCCTGAAGCCCTGGGAAGCCAGAGCACAGGCCCTAGGCTGGGGCAAAACTACTCTGAAGAAGGGGGGAGGCTGCCAAGGGCAACCCCATGCTTGCCAAGGCCAGGGCCCAGAGATTTGGCCGAACCATTCAAAGTGCAAGACAAGGCAAGAGGTAGGAGAAGCTGTGGGGACTGCCTGGGCTCTTGGGGTCGCTTGCTGCACTACCAGCCAGCCACCTAGAGCCAACAGAAACGTTTCGTCTGATTAGAAACCATCATTTCTATCTCAATCCCGGAAAATTGACTGCGGTACAGAGAGGGAGACCTGAGTAGCAGCCTTAGGGGAGAGGGTCCAAGCTAATTAGGAGGCAGCATCCGGGGGCCTATTAGAGCGCAGGCTGCTGTCACTCAGCAGGGCTGAGTTCCCGGGAGAAGAGGCCGGGGAAGGAGGGGCGGACTGCCCCTCGACGAGGACACCGCTGGGAACTGCCGGAACGGGCCCCGGGCTCTGCCCCCGCCCTGGCGCTGGCTCTCAGGCGCCCGCTCCGTGCGATCCTGCTCGGCAAACATTCACTCATCCTGGGCTGTTCGCGCCGGGGGGATCGGGGGGGTGGGAGGGCTGGGGACTTCGAGGCCGAGACGGGAGTTGATTCTGAGCAATACAAGTCATTTGTAGCCTGAGGTGGGCACGAGCCGCGCGGGACTTGCAGGCCAGATGCGTTTCTTTTGTGAGGTCGAGGGAGAACTCGGTGTGTCACCAGGGAAGGAGGGAGAGGCGCGGCGAGGCCGCGGGGGGCGGGGAGGCGGCGGGAAGGTGGTTGCGGAGGGGGAGGGCGCGGGCGAGGCAGGGAGGGAGGGCGGCAAAGAGGGCGCGGCGGCGCGGGCGGCTCGGGGCTGGATTCCGCCCGCGCTCCCTCGCTTGCTCGCTCCCTCCCTCTCCAGCCCCCTCCCACTCGGGCCCACCCCACCCTGCACCCCTGGCGCAGGGACTGCTGGAACCTGGCGGTGCGCGCTGTCGCTTTAAGACAGACTCTGCCGGCGCCGTCCGGAGCCTTAGAAACCGGCCCCGGATCTGGAGCCGTAGCCGGGGCCGGGCGGGCGGCTGAGGCCCGAGCGGCGGGATCGCAGCGCTGAGCCAGGCACCCAGTCGCGAGAAACGGCCTCCGCCGCAGCCCGCCCGGCCCCGCAGCTCCGGGCGGTCCATGGGGCGGGCGCGGCGTCGCGGCGGGCACGGGCAGCCCTGGGGGGCAGCTGCTTAGGAGCTGCGCTCTTGTCCCCGCAGGTCGCAGCCAGGGCGGTCGGGAGCGCTTAGCCCCGGGCCCTGGAGCGCCCTCCGCGGTCCCCACGTACATGGACGCCTTCAAAGGGGGCATGAGCCTGGAGCGGCTGCCGGAGGGACTCCGGCCACCGCCGCCGCCGCCCCATGACATGGGGCCCGCCTTCCACCTGGCACGCGCGGCCGACCCCCGAGAGCAGCTCGAAAACTCAGCCAGTGAGTCGTCTGACACGGAGCTGCCAGGTAAGCGTGGTTCCCTGCGCAGCGCGCACGGAGCCCACCGGGGCTCAGGGCACCGGGACCTGGGAGCAGGGCCTGACGCCCGCGCCGCGCAGCCAGTCTCCCTCTCCGCCCCAAGAGCGACGGGAGCTCCCCATTTCCCGTTCTCGACCTGATGAGTGAACGCGGAAATTTATATACACACACGTAAATGAAGGCGCTTCCACGCGGTCCCTACCCGCCGAGACTGGCAGATGCACGAGCCTACAACTGGGGGGTTGGACTGACAGCCCCTCTCCATCAGGAGCACAGAGATCGCGGGAAGAAGTTGGGTTTGCACAACTGGGCGCAGAGAAACAGCCAGGACTAAAGGGCAGGAGCTGATCTAAAAGGAAATGGGGGTGACGGGCGAGAAAAAGCGCCCAGAGAGACCGAGAGTGGGGAAGACATCCCTGTCAGTGGGCGACAGATTGAAAAGGAGAGACTGAAGAGAAGGAGCGGGCGGAAAGAGCAAACTGGATTGAGGGGGAGACAACAACAAATAAAAGAAAGACTGAGGATAGAGAGGGCGAGCAGGCCAAGGGGTGCTGCGGACAAGGCCGGCCTGAACCCTGACCAGGGATCCCGGCCCACGTGCACGTCCCGAGCCTGGAGTCTCCAGGCCGCCTAACCAGGGCCCTGACTCGGATCTAGTAGGTCTCCCTCTGCGTTTCCTTTTTGTCCGTGCTCGACCTTTTTCGCAGCTACGAGCTGGGCCGGCGGGTGAAGGCGCCGGCAGTGTGGCGACGAATCCTGCCCCGGCCAGGCCGGCGGGGTCTCTGAGTGACTCCCGCGCTCACGGTCCTAACTCGGCTTTGCAGCCGAGCTCCGAGCTCCAAGCTCCTGAGGCATGGGCGCGCTACTTAGTTCATTGCTTAATCCACCGCTGTTTCTCTTGCTTTTTTAAATCTGTATTTGTTTGTGTTTTACATCCATCCCTACGTAATTTTCTCTGAGGTGTTCTCTTTGGTTCAAAAATAACCAACGTTGAACTATACTTTTGTTTTCAAAGTTTTAAGTGTGGTCTTTGATTATTTATTAAAACCTAAAGAAATATATAACTGTAGACTGATTTTTTTAAACCAGATCTAGGAGGACGAATTAACAATTTAAACAGTATTTTTTGATTTTGAAAGCATTAATATGCTAAATGTATTTCTCTGGAATTTAAAATATCTACATGCAACATCATTCTTCGGGAGACTTTAAAGTCGATCCAAAATGGCGCATTTCTCCAGGATTTTCTTAAAATCCATTTGCAGCGGTGTGATTTGGGGAATTTAAATTATCTAAATGTAATGTTGTGTTGCTCTGGAATTTAAAAATTATCTCTACAAGGATGTTATTGGTAAGGGGTTAAAAATCTATCTACCAACGGTACATTGATTTTTCTTAATCCCAGAGAAATAAATGCCTCTGTCTGCCTGGAGTTTACACACTCTGTATTTAGTCAGGGGTGTGTTTTCAAGGAAGTTTCTAGCTTCTTAATTTACATTTGCTCCGTGTTTCTACCTGCCTATTTTTGAGAATTTGTGACATCCTCAGCCCCTGTTTTTAGGCAGAGGGCTGTGTGCTTTTCTGGGCTTTTGTGTTTTGTTTCAAAATTCTTTTCCTTTATGTTTCAATGTTTCTATTACCATGTTTTGTGTAGCTCCAAAGAGAGAGAGGGTAAAGCCCTTAGGTCCCCTAGACAGAGTCTGTCTTGTCCCAACTGCAGTTGGAGGGACTTACTAGGCCTTGAGACTGGAGGTCTGGAAGTAAGGCCGAGATCGGGCGTGTGCTGCCTGCCCAGTGGGGCTCCCACACAGCTCTGGGGAGAAGAAAGTGGAGGGGTTCAGGCTGGAAAAATCTGATTCTAGTTCAAAAAAGCAGAGACCCCCTTCAGCTTTAGACCTCCCCCCAAGAGTCCACAAAATTTGTTTTTAAAAAAGCATACATTTGGGGGTAACAGCAGCAGCAGAGCCAAAACTTGAGCCCAGCTGCCGTGGGAGCAGGCCCTGCCCACCCAGGAACCCAGGCCTACGGCTCGGCTCCGGCTCGAGCTCCTGGATTCCTCTCCTCGGCACGCCAGACTAAAGTTGCCTACTAACTACCAGAGCCCTGCGGGTTCTTTCCAATAAGGACAATTCTCAGGGCCGCCTGGAATTGGGAGGGAGGCTACCTGCGCTGATGGCGGGCGCTTCGGTGGAGCCGGGACGGGGGTGCAACAGGGCGTAAGCCCGAGGTGACCCGTACCCCGTCCTGCCTGCTGCAGAGAAGGAGCGCGGCGCGGAACCCAAGGGGCCGGAGGACAGTGGCGCGGGCGGCGCGGGCTGTGGCGGCGCGGAGGACCCAGCCAAGAAGAAGAAGCAGCGGCGGCAACGAACGCACTTCACAAGCCAGCAGTTGCAAGAGCTGGAGGCGACGTTCCAGAGGAACCGCTACCCGGACATGAGCATGAGGGAGGAAATCGCTGTGTGGACCAACCTCACCGAGCCGCGCGTGCGGGTGAGCACCAGGCGCGCGCCTAAAGCGACCCACGCGGAGAGCTGCCGGGCCGCTTCTGCCGCAGCCCAGGAAAGCTTATCCCTTATTCAGACTTCCACTCTCCCACTGCTCAGATCTGCTCCCTCCCTCCACCAGAGACCTCACCTGAGGCCTTGGCCCACCTCGAGTCAGCTAGGCCCCAAGGCCCCTAGCGAATCTAGGCTGCTCCTGACTCCAGCCCCTCTGACCTGCATCCTACCTGACCAACGGCTCTGCAGTAGCCCCAACCCCAAAACCTGTGGCTCCAGGGGATTCTCCCATGCCCTGCAGGGTTCTGGGCCCACTCAGATGATAGCAGGATAACCTGGGCTAGAGACTGGACAGAGAATTCCCTACCGATGGGGACTTCGGGAGCTACTGGCCTTCCAGCGAAAGCGAAAGGGAAAGGCAGGTCCTGACTAGCTGCCTGGGAGAGGTTTGAAATGTGCTTGGGTTGGGGGCTCTCAAAACTTTCTGGAGCTGTGGTCCTATCCTGCAACCAGCTCTTCCAAAATCTCAAGATATTCTCCACCTTCCCTAGCCTTAGACCTTTTGCCTAATGGTTTTTCCTATAAGTCTTGGGTCAAGAAGGGGGTGGCTCTGGTGGGCAAGTGGCCTTCCCCTTGAGATGTGAGGTCTCAAACCCAAGACCAGACTGCATTCTCCCTCTTCTCACCCCTTTGGTTCCCAGTAAATGCAAGGTTTTCCTGCCAGAGCAGCAAGAAAATCAATTCTTCCTTGAATGCACCAATATTTAATTAGGTATTGGAAGCACCTTCCAAGCCAGACCAACCTAGCCCACAGGCTCCCTACCGTAACCCAGCCCTCTCCCTCTCAAGTCAGGCTAGCCAGCCCAGTGAGACTTGGAGTGGAACGCCACACTCAATAATCCTGACTAGGTTTACAGTGGAAGGGATGGGTGGGGTGGAAACAGGCAGTGCTAGTGGTAGAGACTGGGGGAGCTGAGGTGCAGAGGTCTCACAAACCAGCTTAGGAAACTGAGCCCAGGACTGAAGAAGGGTTGGGGAGGGCAGGGGGCATGTGGTGGGCAGATAAGTGAGGACCAGGGAAGACCTGGGGCTTAGAGGAAAAAAAGAGGTTCTTACCAAATTTGGGGGGAGAAATCCAAGGAGGGGAGATTAGAGAGAAACTAGTAAGAATCAAAAGGAAATTAAATATTTGCAAAGAAATATGTTTGGCATATATTCAGGTGACAGAAAAGAAATTAAATATTTAAGAGAAGCGAAAGGATCAAGTATTTGAGAAAAAGAATCAACTATTTAAGGGAAACAAAGAAGGTCATATTGGGAAGAGTGGGGAAGAATCAAAGAGATCAAAAATGGGGAATAAAGAAAACAGACTGAGGGAGAAGAAAGGAGATAGTGGGATGTACTGAATGAAAATATTTGAAGCAGAAATGGAAATATCAAATATTGCCAACAAAGATGAAAACAGACTATTTGAACGGATGAAATAGGTCGAAGGAATTGGAGGAATCGGAGTGTTATATGTCTCAAGGAAGGAAAATTAAGTTTTGCATTTGAGGGAGAAGAAAGGTATGGAATATTTAGTGGATAGATAGGAACCCATTCGGGAGGGAAAGCAGAAGGTAGACTAGTTGAAATGGGGAAGGAAGAAAACGAATATTTGCTAAAAATAAAAGAGAATCCATATTAAGAGAAGAAAACGAACTTAATTTGGGGAAAAGGACAAAAACCCTAATATTTCCGGGGGACTGGAAAGAACCATTATGGAGAGAAGGCAGAAGCGGAAATATCCGTTGGTCGGGCAGTCAAAGAAAAGAAACGAAGTAGGGAGAGAAGGCGGAGGGTTCAGGGTGGTGGGGAGTGGGGGTGGGGGGCCTTCCCGCCCTCGGCAGCCCTGACTCCTCTCCCGCCCTCTCCCCCAGGTCTGGTTCAAGAACCGGCGAGCCAAGTGGCGGAAGCGCGAGCGTAACCAGCAGCTGGACCTGTGCAAGGGCGGTTACGTGCCGCAGTTCAGCGGCTTGGTGCAGCCCTACGAGGACGTGTATGCCGCCGGCTACTCGTACAACAACTGGGCCGCCAAGAGCCTGGCTCCAGCGCCACTGTCCACGAAAAGCTTCACCTTCTTCAACTCCATGAGCCCGCTGTCGTCGCAGTCCATGTTCTCGGCACCCAGCTCCATCTCCTCCATGACCATGCCGTCCAGTATGGGCCCAGGCGCCGTGCCTGGCATGCCCAACTCCGGCCTCAACAACATCAACAACCTCACCGGCTCCTCGCTTAACTCGGCCATGTCACCCGGCGCCTGCCCGTACGGCACCCCAGCCTCGCCCTACAGCGTCTACCGGGACACGTGCAACTCGAGCCTAGCCAGCCTGCGGCTCAAGTCCAAGCAACACTCGTCGTTCGGCTACGGCAGCCTGCAGGGCCCGGCTACGGGCCTCAACGCGTGCCAGTACAACAGCTGACCGCCCCGCTGCGCCACGCGGGTCGGCGGCCGGCACGGCGCCGGGCGGGGCGGGCGCGGAGGACGCACGCGGGGCCGCAGCCAGCCGCGCCGTGGGCCTCGTGCCTGCGCGCCCCCTCCTCCCACTCCCCGCCTCTGGGTTGGTTTTGTGTTTGCTTTTCCGGACCCCACTCAGCCCTCAAAAAAAAAGAAAAGAAAGTTAAAAGACGTCGGAGAAAAGTGCCGCGAAATAATGGATGAGTTGCAATTGCCCTCGGGATGGCGCGGGTGGTGTGTGTTCCCATGGGCCCCGGTGGCCCACTCCGCGGAGAGGACTCGGCGGGGGAAGCGAGTGCCGAGGCCCAGCGGCCCGGAGAGGACGCCATCGTAGCCCGCGTCCCCGCCGCGCTGTATGCGGACTGAGCGACCAAGCCTGTGAGAACTGGATGTGCTATTCCCGAACAAGCCTGAGATCCCTTAGCCCGGTACGAACCAAGACAACTCTCCGAGCTGGGCCCGGCCGAGCGCACCTTAGCTCGATTCGTATCCGAGTTGGAGCAGGCGCTGGGCCAGGGGTGACGGTTCCTCGCACCGGATCGGGCGCTCGCCAGGGAGCCGCACATGCCCGCGGCGCGCCCTGCCTGGGAGAGCCCTCGCCCTCCCTGCGCCCAGCCCTATATTAAGGCCAGGGAGCTGCAGCGGGTGGTGTGGACATGGCGGGAGGATGGGGAAGGCTTGTCTCAGAGTACCCCAACCCCAAGCTTAGCCGCAGGCTCAGGCTCTCTGCTCTGCTCCTGGGCCGGGAGGTGGCCCCTTGTCCCGGCGCACAGCCCCCTCCTCACCGCCTGCCGTGCAAGAGTGGAGCCGGGAGAGCGCGGGGCGCGGCCCCAGGGCCCTGCGCCCATTTTGCACACCCGCTCTCCGGCCCTCGCCCCTGTTTACAGCGTCCCTGTGTATGTCGGACTGACTGTATAGAATTATAAATTTGTCTATATCGACTTGTCCATGTACGTCTATTAAAACCATAGTCTGAGCGTGCTAAGCACTGCTGAGCCCTGACTGCTTCATTGGGCTGAAGAGGGAGGCAGATAGAAAGGGCCTGCGCCACCTCGGCCCCGAGGGTAGGAGAGAAAAGCTGAGGCAGCCCGCCGGCAGGGATGTCCCGTCCTCACCGTCATTTCCTGACCTGTTTAGCACGACTGCGGTGATGGTTCTGAGCTCCCTCTCCTCTCCCACCCCGTGCGCACCCGCTGAGTGTTAGTCCAGTCTGTGCTGTGTGCCTGGTCGCCTTAGTTAGTACCTCCCAACCCTTCCCAGACTCTGCATGCTCTTCCATGCAGGCTGGGTCTGTGCTGACCTTTGAGGCCCCCAGGGTACTATGGGGCCCTGCTGGGGGCTGCTGACAGGCTTTCTGGGCCTTAGGTGGCCTTTTGTCCTGTGGCCCAGGCACCCCCCCCCCGCCCCCGCCCTTGAAGCTATTCCCTGGCTATTCCATTCCAGGAGGACTGGATCCTCCAGAGTCTAGCCAGGACCATCCTCTACCTTTACCCCTAATGCCTCAGCTGAGATCCCACCCAAGGGCATGCGACTATGCTGGTTGTGCCAGAGAAAGTGTCTGTCACATAGGACTCACTTTTCACTTCTCTTCTATCCCAACTTATGGGGACTGCTGGTTGCTTCCACCCTCCCCTGGCTTTTGGAAACTACTGAACAAGACCAGCCTGTAAACTGCCTGTAAAATCTGTTTCCCTTAAGTAAGTCATTTCTAATGGCAAAACAAAATGTTCGCAGCTGCAGCGGGGGAGGAAGGAGGGGTTGATATTCTGCTTTAGAATCACCTTGTGATGGGGATTGGCACTGCCCTAGAGCTGGACCCAGGCAAGCCCTTGCTGGGAATGGGGCACAGCCACAGGCTTAGTCATAAGCTAATAGCAGCAGAACTCTGTGCACATATTCTCAAACCAGGTCAACACTGCCTCTGAGGTCAGGAGTGCTAGCCCTATTTTACATATGGAACCAAGGTGCCATGAGATTATAACTGGGCCAAAGTCACACTGAACCAGTAGGTTTTTAGCTCCCCAAACCAGGCAACTTTCTCCTGGTCTTCTCACCTTTAAATGAGGAATAAAGAAGAGTCTTTCCTAGAGATGGCCCAGCCTGATGCTGTAGGACTTAAGAATGTGGGGTTCTGAGATGGACAGGGCCAGACAGGCTAGAGGGTAGGGGGCTGGAGCCAGATCACCCCTCCCCCAACAGATCCAGTTTAGAGCTGCGACCTCTCACTTTCTGGAAACATAAACACAACTACATCTGGACTCAGAGTGCCTCCCCCAGCCTCACACATCTGTTAAGGCCAAGGGGCCCTGGTCCCAGCTGAGGGCAGGAGGCAGGGAAGACCTAGAAGGAGGTGGACTGGAGGAAAGTGGGAAGCAAAAATGAAGCCTCTCCTGATAGTCAGGCCTTGCTCCAGGTGAGACGGGCTGCACAGAGCTCTGGTAGAGGCCCAGTGTAGCCATGGGGGCCACAGGCCAAACAGCTGCAAATGGGTGGAAGGACAAAAATAGTCCCAGAATGACCCCACAATCTTGTCAAGGACCATGACCAAGCAGGTGAGTGTAAGACCAGCCTCAGGCCCCAACCAGTTGTTTTCATCCAACTCTTCCATGGCTTACAAAGACAGTAGCATCAGCCCTTTTCATACCAGCTACAGGGTCATCTCTTCTGGAGAAATATAGGGAAGTCTGAAAGCCATGTCTTATGAAAAAAGGCAGAAAGGCCTAGGCTTCTCTGCCTACTAAAGACTGGGGGGTCATTCATTCAATCAACATTGACTATGTTACTGCTCTTGGTGCTAAAGATGGAATGGTGGAAAACAGACACAGTCCCTGCTCTCCTGGACAAGTAAATGAACATGTATAATTACAACCTGGGCTGAGGAAAAACAAAAGGCTGCTATGAGTAACAATAAATGGGAGTCTGGCTTTAAACACACTGGTTGGGCAAGGATGGTCCAAGGAGACGCTCCATCTCTGTCTTCAGGGCTGAACACTAACCTCCATGGAACCCACATGGGGTCCAGGGCCCTGTGCTATGTGTACTTCTCACTCAGAAGCCTTTTACCTGTGCAATAACCCTATGGGGATGGTACTATTTATTATTTTATTATTAATATTATTAAAATGAAATGTCCTGGCTTTCCTCTTGAGTCCCTGTTCCCCTCTTCCTGTATTAATAGGACTTCTCTGTCAAAGTTTCTCAATAGGTCATTTCTGAAATGTCATTTGGGGCCCAACTTTGCCCTGCCACATCCCTGGCCCACCTGCTACACCACACCCTAGGCTCAGGCCCTCTGTGGCCTAGCTTGTTGTCTTGTGGTACAATCTCTACTCTATCCTCTGCAGGCCAGGCCTGGGAGACCCAGAGGAACCAGGCCCAATTCCTGCTTTCTACTGGGCCTCTATGGAGAGGCAGATCAGCATGATCAGTGCTCATCCCAGAAGTCTCCTCCAAGGGCTTGCTGCCATGCGGGATGAAGGTGCCTGAACACTTTTTTTGTTGGCACATCATGTTATCAATAGCTACTGAGTGCCAGACCACATGCAAGCAGTTCATGAGAATTATGTCCTGTTCCTCATAGCAATGCCATAATGGAGGGGCCTGTTATCCTTACTTTTCACAGGTGGCACCTGAACTCAGGCCTTCTGCCCAGGGCCTGTGCTCCTTCCCACTGCACTATACATATACTACCCTTACACGAATCACATTTGTATTCAGTAGGGAAAGGAAATTAAAAGTTTAGAATTCACTTCAAGAGGCTGAGCTCAGCTACGATCCAGGAGAGAGAAAGAAAACACCCCAGGCTGAGAATTTGCCCTCCTAAGCTCCGGCTGTGTGAGAGCAGCAGAGGGCCTGGGGTGGGGATAGACAGGGCACAGAGCAGGTTTCTGGTGAAGAAAGGGGAATCCAAGCTCCTACCTCAGTCATATCACAAGCTTCCCATTCCCTAGATTGGTGTCTACAGGCACAGCCTCCTCCCAGGCCCTGCCTCCTTGCCCTTCTCCTCACTGGGAACACCCCCCTTTACACTCCTGTGCTGCCTTTGCTGGTCTCCCGGATCTTACCTCCCAGATGGCTGGTGTTGCCCAGAGCAGGTGTCCACCATCAAGTAGCTTCAGGGCACACAGCAAACCCTGCAGCAGTGCCCAGTCAGGATGGAAGGGCTGCAATTTTGTCAATCAAACCACTGCAGAGGACCAGGGTCAAGTGCAAGAAGCCACATGAGAAACAGGGAGAAGGTAGAGGAGCAGGATGACCTTGGTGGAGGCTAACAGCTGTGCTGGATAACTCAGGCACATCTCATTCTGTGCTGTCCCCTGCAATGTTTTCTCTTACCGGCCTCATTTTGTAGACAGAGAAGGTGAAGCTCATAGGGGTCATATAGCCTGTTCAAAGACATGACACTCCTCTTTAGGGTGTGGGCTTAACTACTATGAGCACTGCCTCCTGGAGGCTGACCCCGGCAGCTAGACAGGGTCACTGTGGTCACAGAAAGCCAGCATGTTGGACTGAATTAAATAGGCACAGACAGCAAGACCTATAGAAGCGCCTGTTGATAGTAGGTACTCAATAAATATCTGTTGAATAAAAGAATGGAGGGGCTGCATTTCCTCCTCCCACAGCCTCTTTCTACCCCCCCCCACACTCCTTTCTCTCCTCTCTCTTGCTCTTTTCCTTCTTCCTCCACTCTTTCTCAGTACAGATAGCTCTTGGCAGTGCCTTGAAAAGTATATCTTAACAAACAACCCAATTCAAAAATAGGCAAATTTTAACCAGAGGTGCAAGGTTAAAAAAAAAAAAATAGGCAAAAGACTTGAAAAGACTCCTCCCCACCAAGAAGATATACAAATGGCCAATAAGCACATGAAAAGAAGCTGACACCACTAGTCAATAAAAAATGCAAATCAAAAACCACAGAGGAGACCACCTCCCACTCATCAGGATGGCTACTATTTAAAAAATAAGCTAGGTGCCTGTGGTTCAAGGGGCCAAGGCGCCAGCCACATACACCTGAGCTGGCAGTTCCAATGCCCGGGCCGCCAAACTATGATGACAACAGCTGCAACCAAAAAACAGCCAGGTGTTGTGGCAGGTGCCTGTAGTCCCAGCTACTTGGGAGGCGGAGGCAGGGGAATCACTTGAGCCCAGGAGTTGGAGGTTGCTATGAGCTGTGATGTCACAGCACTCTACCCAGGTCAACAGCTTGAGGCTCTGTCTCAATAAATAAACAAATAACCAAAAATAACAAAGATTAAAAGTAGGGAAATCAGAACCCTTGTGCTCGCTGGTGGGAATGTAAAATGCTACAGCCACTGTGGAGAACAGTACAGTGGTTCCTCAAAAAAATTAAAACTAGAATTACCATATGATCTAGCAATTCCACTCCTGGTTAAAATTCTGTTTCTGGGTATACATGGGTTATTACAAAAGTTTTGAGATACACAAATATGTATCTCTTTTGAGATACATAAGAAACATAAAATCTGCATGGACAGAAATAAATGAAGCCCTCCTAACAACACCGATAAGCCGAGCAAGCTGGAACTAGCACGGGTGAATCAGAAAGGACGCTATCGACTGTGTCTCTTCGAAATGAAATAATGGACCATAATTCAATGTGTCTCAAAACCCATATATATGCAAAAGAAATGAAAGCAGGGACTCAAAGATATATTTGTACACCTATGCTCACATCGGCAGCTAAAACATGTTCATCACAATAGCTAAAAAGTGGAAGTAGATCAAGCGTCCAGATCAATGGATAAACAAAATGTGGTCCTTAAAAAGGAAAGAAATGTGGTTCATACCTGTAATCCTAGCACTGTGGGAGGCCAAGGCAGGTTGCTTGAGTTCACGAGTTTGAGATCAGCCTGAGCAAGAGTGAGACCCCATCTCTACTAAAAATAGAAAAAATAGCCAGGCATTGCGATGGGCACCTGTAGT